ATGAGGTTCCACCCTGAGCATCTGGCATTTGGGGGACAAGGAAATCATTTCACACCTGAGGAACTCTTTGGACATGGCCCAATATTTAGGGGTTGAGTGCATTCAATAAATACTCTCAGGTAGAGATATGCAAAATGCAAAAGCTATTATTACCTTCCATCAACCCCCACATCAAAGACAATGTTTAAAAATGTATCTCAACTCTGTCCAGTTTCTGTTAAAAACAAGGTGGCTACTCACGAGGGCTGTTTTAACTGAACAGAAGTTTCAGCACATCAAAAAAATTGTTGCTATGACACGGAGGTTATGAAAAATGAGGGTGCTGTTAACATTTTTTTTTCTAAATCCATTCCAGATTGTTTTTAAGGTTTCATTTTCTGTGTGCGTTCACCCAAATGATCTTGACTTGGTAGGCATGATCTCACTTGGCTACGTGCACAAGTCTTTTACTTCTGTTACAGCCTTCTCTCTTTAAACACCAAAACCGATCATCAGCCAACATTCTGTTTATGGTTATAAAAACAGAAAAAAATAAATAAATGAAACCTACCTCTCAGTGCTTGGTACACGTCGTCATCCCAGTTTTGTATGATGAATTTGCTGCAGAGATCTCTTGAGCACAGCATCCACGGCCCCCTCCTGGGCAGGCAGGAACAACCCTTCAGCTTGTCTCCTGCCCAATTACTGCAATTATTGGCATTGCATTTACTCTGCTCTGGTGTCCACTCATCTTAGATTTTCCAGAAGAGTCTTGGGTTTTAAACACTGTGCTCTTTCAGTGCCTTAAGATGTTGAATGTGAGGTGATACCCCCAGGACACTTCTTGGACCAAAATATCCATACATGGGTAATAGGAATGTTGGGTATAGACACTGCTTTCTTACCAGTCTTTACAACTGGCTTTGCCTATAGTGATCACAGGCATCCCGGGGCATCTGGTATCCCAGCCCATCAAGCTTTGGACCAAGATTTTATCCTTATAAAAATGGGCATACAGAAGACCTAGATTTGAAGTAATGTTTTATACTTTGGTAAGATGGAAAGCCTAGTTACTCACTGATTTCTTAGACACAATAGCATGATGTGCTTTCTGAAAGGATATATAAGTACTTATGGGGAAAAAGTGCTTGATACACAAGGCCAGTATCAATTCCAGAAGTCCTGCTGATCCTAATAGTTAAAAATGAAGTTAAAAACTTATTTCAGATTTTTCTCATCTGTGTCTTATGTCTCATAAATTTCTTGTATATTTTGTGTCAGTAGCTTAGCTATTTATTAGTTGTCTTAACATGTAAATTTCAATATCCTATCTGAAAGCAGAATAAAGTATTTACATAGATACAGAAAAAAAAAAAATTGGCATGCCTCAGCCACTTATATAGTGGATTCAAGGATAGCCCTTTACAGAAAGAATTCTGTGCTGCTCACAGCCAACTCAAATATTCTCCAAGTCCAGAAGATAGTATAAAACACCTTTTCACTTTCCTCGTTGGGTCTCTTTTCAGACATGCAGGGGTCTTCAGGGGGGACGGGGGGGGGGCAGGGAGAGGAGGGCCATCCATCAGTCCCTCTCCCTTGGCTTCCTTTATTCTTTCCCTTGTCTACCCTCTGTCCACCCCCAGGAGCCCTGTTGTCACTGATCCTGTGTCTGACCCCCAGGAAACCCATCCCTGTTTTCATCCAAAGAGGAGATGGTGAGTTCCTAACTTTTCTCAGAGCAGAACCTCTCTGATGCGTAACATGGATGCATTATTCTGCTAGAAAAATTCCTCCCGGGCAAGGTGTGAAAGCATATGAATGGAGGTGATAAAGGGGACAGAAAAGCCCATTCTATCACAGTGGAGTAAGAATTTAGGAAGAAATAATTTAAGCATAAAAAGTATTTTGTTTCCAGGAGACTATTACATATATGTAACATATATATATGTAAAATATTGCATGAAGTTGGGATAGCACCTATTGAGATAATGGTAGTTAATATCATTGAGTACTTTCTTTGTGCCAGATACTAAGTGCTTTACTTGGATTATAGTATTTAATCCTCAAAGTGACCCAAAGTAGTAAATGTTATTGTTACAATTTTGCAGGTGTGGAAACAAACTGTTATAGAAAGTTTAAGTTGCTTGATTACAGTGAGACCATGCCCACTGATTTTGGGTTCAGAAGATGATGTGCACTGCCTTCACTATAGTTATTTAAGTATGAGAGTTAATTCCTGATTAAATGAAAAGCATCTGGAAGTTGAGGGATTTTACACCACCCTGCCCCCCTGCTCCATGTAGAACTTACAACAGTGACCTGCACACGTTAGGAACTAACCAACATTTGTGAAATTCATGAAGGCATAGCAGGATTGTGCATAGGCTGATGCAGGAATATAGCCACATTTTTGGACTTATAGCCAAGTGCTTACCCTTTGACGTCACACATATAGTAATAAGTGAAATACAGTAATGACAGGGAACTTACTTAAAAAGGCAAACAAAAGTTTTTAGCCAGAATCAAAAATGAGATAAATATCAACCTGGACCAGAAATGGAATAGAGGTGTAGGGTAGTGAGCTGGCTGAGACACAGGCCCACTCGGGCCCAGGCTGGGAGGCAGGCAGTGCCTACCAGGAGGTCGTGTTGTATGGGGCAGAAGGAACCAGAAGTTCTCCACCAAACACAGGGCAGGGGCCAGGCTCGCAGCCTGAAGACAGGGCTCTCCTAGTCACAAAAAGAGACTAAACAAGAATAAAAAGTAACGCAGCAAATGTCCTCCTGAAGCTGTGGCTTTTGGAGAGTTGAGGATCTGAAGAAGTAGCTCACAGGTTGATGGGAATATGAGACAGAAAGCCACACCGCCGGCCGGCTCTGCAGGGGGATCTACTGTCTCCAGCATCACAGCGGAACAGGCGTCAAGGCTGCTCGGAACACTCTTGATTCCAGAGGCCCAGGGGCCCGGGAGGAAGCAACTGCAGATCTGCTGGTCTGAGAGGGAGAGACAGATGCGTTAACGCAACCTAATGCGAGAAGAGCAGCCAATAAAATCAACAAGCAAAACATGAATTTATTCCAGACCGAACTGTATAGAATATTTTTGGAAAACCTTTCAATACATAGGCTAAATGTGTTCAAAAAGATAAATGAGTCATAACTTCTTTGAACAAGAAAAAAGACTCCGTGAAACACAAACATGGAGAAATGAAACAAGTACAAGTAGCAGTGAAAAACAACTGGTTGCAAACTTGGAGATGAAAGACATAATAATCAAAATAAAATTAAAGTAGACTGGATAAATTCCAGATAGGACAGAGTTGTAAAAGGATGAGTTATTTGGAGAATAGTAGAGAAGATAAAGCCTGCTTTTCAGTTCACATCAGGAAGAAAATACCTACTAGGTCTTGTCCCTTTCTTCCCAAAGACAGCCTAGCACTAGCAAGGGGCATGCTTTGGGTCTACTTAAGCTCTCCCAACCCTAGATTAGCAACCACTCTGATCAAAGTTTTTAAGAGTAAATGTGTCCCATGTTCTGTACATTAAGGATTGGGTACTCAGTTGCTATAAAAGTGTATGTAATTAGCCAGGCGTCGTGGTGCACACCTGTAGTCCCAGCTACTGCGTAGGCTGAGACAGAAGAGTAGCTTGAGCCCAGGAGTTTGAGGTTCTAGTGGCTGATGCCATAGCACTCTAGCTGGGGCAACAGAGTGAGACGACTTTGTCTCAAAAAAAAAAAAATGTGTATGTGGTCTCACTTTGCTAAACTAAGGATTCTAAACCAGTGAGAAGTGACTGGCCCTTTTCACTCTGCTCACACCCATTTCAGGCATCGGAGACAGGAGACAGAGCTCTGAGGTTGGGGGCTGCAGCCCTGAGCAAGGCAGTGACCACAGTCTTATGTTCCAGTGGGAGCCCCCAGTGTGAGGGACCCGACCCGGACGTGTCTTAATCCCACTTTGAATAGGAACAAATCCCTTGGTGAAGGGACATCTATGCCTGTTGCCAGTAATTACAGAGGAGTGAGTTTAAGAATGAGAAGAGGTTTTGGTTACCTTGTTTGAAAAGAGAGTTGGGTTTTCCGCAGTCCAAGCTCAAAAAGAAGGGTTGTGTATGTGACTGTGATGTGGCCGCATTCCTGGCTGAGTCTCCAGGTACATGGGAATAAGTATCAAAACTGGCGCCTCATCTGGCACTTCCTTGTAGAGCTGCTGCTTGTGCTGCAGAAACCACCCTCCTCCTGACAGGGAGGGCTCAGAGTTGCCAGTGGTGAGCCATGTGTGACGGTGACCCACCAGGCCCTGTCCGCCCAGACACTGGGAGCACACTGGGGAACTGAATAGAATATGCACATTGAATTTTCTTTTCATTTATTCAGACTTTAAAAAAAAATGCTATGGACAGTGTACTTGGCATTTGAAAGGCTGATGCTCACCATTGCTGAGGATTTGAGCAAAGGGAATATTCCCAGAAGCCGTTAGTGCATGGACTTTTTTTTTACACAAAGCCATGTAAGCAACAACAGAGCCATGAAAGCAGATTGAGGAGTTTGAGCCACTCTATTTGGGGAATACTCTTTAGCAGTGGGTGCAGGGAGTAGTTTTGCTTGTACCTTGAACTTAGTGGTCTCAAGCTCAGCACCCGCCTCCTCCCGGCTCCTCTATGGTGCCAATTCCAAAGCGTGTCCTTGGGACGCTGGAGCCAGCCCTGCCCCACACCTGGCCTGAGGCACTTACCTCCCCTGTTGTCAAGCCTTCCTTCTGCCCTTTACCTCTCCAGAAAATTCTACCTCCCCTCCTAACGATCTTGTTTAGCAATCCCTTTTTATTTTTTCTTGTCTCTGTTACTGATATTGTTTTGTTCCCGTAGAAACAGAAAGCTGGAAGACACTAGCGGGATTATGTACTTGAACACCCACATCTTACAGATGAGAAAACTGAGGCGTAGACAGATTAAGTTATATTTTGTTTTTTAATGAGCCATGGGAAACACAAAAAAGGATGCTCAGGAAAGGACCTGACCTGGCTCCTCTCAGAGGAAAGCTGACTGCGTTTCCAGGACTTTACGTCAATAGAGTTTCTGGGGGTGTCAGACGATTCCTGCGTCCCCAGCAGTCTAGCCACACAGGTCATTCTGAGAGTGTCTGCTCTCTCTCAGGAATAGGCTGACTCGGCCTCTGACACTTTCAGACTCTTGGCATGGTCTGGCCAAGCATGCTTCTTTCCCCAGATGCCTGGTCATCTTGATGTCACCAGAAGGTTCTCTCTCCAGCCTGACCTGACTCTCCATTTTGTTGCCAATCTCCTGTGTGGAATTTGCCAGCTGAACCGCAGCAGGGAGCTTCCTTCAGCCCCTCCTAAGTGTCTTTGGTGCTGCCTGGTGCCACGCACAGGAATCTGTGGCTAGGCTGCGTTTGGACAGCCCAGTGAGGTCTCGCTGCTTTGCTCCCGGCTCCACAGGGATGGAGACATGACCCGTCCACACCTGCACACAGCGCCTGCCAAGACATGACGCGCTGAGGGAGGCCTGTGCAGATTTCAGGGCTGATGAGAACGAGGCTCTCAGAGAGTTCCTGCTGAACATCTGTGGCTTCTCTTTAGAAGGAATAAAGTGAGACAAGTTTGAGTGGCCTTAGAACTGTAGAATGTTAGTGCTGAGTAGTAAGCAAGAGATAATTTAGATGAGAGTTCACTGGGCATCAGATTTAATATCCTTCCGATTCACCTTGGGGATTGTTAAATATTCAGATTCCTAGGCCTTATCCAGAGAGATTGTGATTCACTTGGTCCACAGTAGAACCAAGCAAATCGACTGTTTAATAAGCACAAGTGATTCTGATTCAGAACCCCTTGAAGATGCACCCCTCCCAATCTTGTGACTAAGGAAGCTGAGGACCGGGTGGGCAGAGTGCACTGCCTGGTCCATGCAGGATTGTGGCTCCCAGCTGTGCAGATAGCCTCTAACTGATCCCGCACCTCTGCACAGTCTGGCTCTCCTTTTGTTTCTGGGACTATTCCTTCTTTGTCTCCTGCCTGCCTCTGTGGGAGGTGGACTGTGCTTCCAGAGTACCCCCCCCCAGAGGAAAACACAAAAAGAAACACCCAGAGGAAGGGTGACACAGAAGAAGAACAGAATGTGTAGTGATGACAACTTCAACTGCTTCACCATTTTGCCAAAGGAAGTTACTAAATCAAAACATACACTCAGTCATGTCAAAAAACAGCCATCAGCCATGTGCCAGCCCACTGAATGTGTGGCCAAGCGCTCACCGAATGAAACACCATGCACATGGCTGTTTCAGCTGCTCCTTCCAGCCTTGGCTTCCTGCTCCGCCATTCCCATCTTCCTTCTTTTCTTCCTTACTTTACTTCCTATGGATCATATGACAAAACAAGCTGGAAAGAGAGATCAGTGCAAAAGTTGCATTGTTTACTGACGTCAAACTTGTTTGACTTGTTTTTGCAGAGTTTATCAATGGGACATTGTGCAAACACAATGTCACCTAGTTCCTAAAGCTCACAAGGAATGATGCAACAAAGCACAGTCCTACCTGGCATCAGTTGCATTTTCTTTTCTTAAAGGGACGCCAATGGTTGGGTGTTACATATGCAAAGAAAGCAAAGGAGAAGGCATGAACAGCTTTCTAGCAGAAATGCCTTCTACAAAGGGATTGTAACTTTCAGTGGAAGTTCCTCTTTAAAATTAAAACAGCCATTTGACTCTTTTGCGCCTAGTGTGCAATTTAGAATCGTTTCCTCTTGCAATTTTATCAGTGCTTGCCAAAACCTCACAGATGAGAGGATGTTTTATACCTTCAGTATAAGTTTTGTTCCACTCACAGACATTAATCACCAAATGCCAAGAAGGAGTAGATATATGGGACAAAACAACCAGCATAAATTACATTTTAAGGCCCTCAGATAAGAGCAAAGTCAACATCTCCATGCACCACCTCAAATCCCTTTGGAATTAGGTGGTGCCATAAATCTCAAGTTATAAATAAATAAGACATTTCTGCACTATGTTATACTAACATCATAAAAACAAACCGCTTTTTTCCTCTTCTGAGTATGCCTGAATTTGAATTAAAAAAAAAAAAATAGTTAAACACAAAACTTTGCTAAAGGAAAGTGAATGTGAACCAGAAATTTGAAATCACTAAATGCAAGTGGTCATCACATATCGTGGCTACTTAAGAACCCAAATCGCACGGTGATAAAAATGTCCAGGATGAATGATCCTCTTCTGCTTAGTTGGATAACATTTCACACCTGGACTTATTTAAAATGTTAAGGTTATAGGTCCATTACTCCTATAATAAGATATTGGGTTAAAAGAAAACAATGATGGAGTTTGATGATAAAATATGAGAAGTGGCCCTTTGTGGGCCTGGAAAACCCCTCACGTACATGCATGTGATACTCATACGAGTATCAATGCTCATGACGAGCCTGTTGTTGAAGTGAATGTGTGTCTCACAGAAGATCACTCAGAAATGCTAAATAAACATTGAAGGAATGAAATTCAGGTAGTGACATTTGTTATCTATACATACCAAACACACACATATAAGACATGCCTGAGCACAAGATACCTCTAGATTTTATAAAGAATTTTTGGGAAAAAATAAAGTACTTTTTATCATACTTAACTATTGAAAGTGATTTTATTGTGGTTTTGTAGGAAAGAGATTATTTTACTCATAAAAATGTAGTATACTATTCATTAGAACCAGCACAAAAATCAAAACCTATTGATGCAACAATATTCCAAAAATTCTGGGCCAAACGTTTAAAACCATGTGGCTAAAAAGAAATATATTGACATCAATAAATATAAACTGCAACAAATCTACTGATGAATCAAATCCTATTCCTTTTATGGGATACTGTAAATGCAATAAGAATCTTGCTTTTCCAAAAATGCTAGTACCTGAAAAGCCAGTCATGATATAAAATATATGTAAATGGATTCTTACGTAGTACTCTGGACAAAGTATATATATCCGTAAAAATCGAAAAAAGCAAGTAGCAAGATACAATAAATTTGAAATTAATTTATAGATGTAGAGCCAAAGTACATATAAACAAAAAATAATAGACAGTTTTATGCTAAATAATAAAGCTTAAAGAATTCCAATATCATGCTTATGCATGCAGCAAAACCAAACATTTCTCATGAGTAAACAATAAGAAACAAGGGAAAACATTATGAATTCTAATACACGCTGCCTTGAACCTATTGTTATTGTAGTGCCTTTGTTGGTTTTAAGTCATAGCTTATGTTGAGGCAAATTTATATCTAAGATGTTAGTGAAATAAAGCCAAATCTACTTCTCATCAGCTGTGTGATTTGGGCTTGCTGAGTTTTTTTGTTTGTTTGTTTATTTAGCAAACAAACCAACAAACCAATAAACACTTCCCGGGTGCCAGGCTTCACATAAAGAGGAGCAATGTCACTAGTCTACCATTGTCTATATTCCTTGTACCTTGGGGGCCTGGTCTTACAATTGTAATAGGAGCCCATTGTATGTAGGGAAAACTATTTATATTTGGGGAAGGGAGGGAGTGATATATGTCATAAGCCAACAAATTCAGTATATTTATAGAACTATGATAATGGCTGATATATCAAAGATGTGTTTTGTTAATGATTTTGATTGCCTCTTTAGCAAAAAGGATCTTGAATATCCAGTAGCCAATAAACGAAGTTTTCAGTCAAGTACCTGAAGATTATGCTAAGCCCTTACACCTGTTTGCTTTGCTGATCAGGAGGGGAAGAGGACCCTGATTGGCTGTTTCCTTAGGGCAGTTTTGTACCCCGAAACGGAAAGTTCTGGTGGAAGTGACGATAAAGAGACACTGCAAGTGACACAGAGAGAAGGGGTGGCCACACCAACAAGGAGCCTGTGGTCCGGGATGTGCGTATCAGTGTATTGAAAACTGCTTACAAGCAAAAGGACCCGACTGCAATCATTAGAAAGATCACCCTAATTAGACCAGTAATGTTCTGAGAGGCAACTATGCTAACAGACTCAGGATTTCGTTTAGCTGTGGTAGCCTCAGGCCACCTTTATGCGAAGAAGGCAGATGTCTGCGCAGCAAATTGATAACAGGGAATTTCCAAAGCGCTAATCACAAAAGCAAAAACTCAATGAGGACCACAATTTTGTCCGCGCTCCTTCAGCCCCTGCTCTAACTCAATCTAGGTCTCCATCTGAGTTGATAGCTATGACTTGAGCACAATGAATAATCTGAACAAGAATTGATTAATGACTGGTATTTCTATTCCCAAGGGTTAATTATACTGAAATGTTATATTCCATTTAGTCTACTCTGTCTCATAAGATGAGGAAATGCAAAACAAAAGTTTCCCATTAAAAATGAATTACCAAATGTAAAAGGTTTATTAACCTTTAAGATTCTGGGTAAGCGATGGTCATCCAGAAGCTCATTTCCTAAGCACTCTGGATCACAGAATCTTTTAAATAAAACACCGTGCAGATTGATTTGGATTATATGTAAATATTTTCTCCTTTTTATAAATTACTTATCCTCTTTCACCTTTTTTTACCTATCCATATGCCATAAGTGTGCATTTTGGTTCATAGTGTTTGAACTCAACATAAAATTCCTTTAAATCACAGCACTTTTCCTTGTTTTAGTCTCTCTCCTCTCTTTCTCTCTCCTTTTCCTTTTGGCAGCTGTATTCACAGTGAAGACAAAATGCTTACCTGTTGGATGTTCTTTGCTATAATTCACCACGTGCATATTGCCTTCCTGAGAAAACAAAGAAGAGAGTCCACAGTGTGTTACCCTCTCATGGTCACTTCCTGCTGCTCTCTGAACTCTAATCCTAGAATTTGAGCTAGAAGGTAATGCAGGGATAAGAAAGGCAAGGAAGGTCAGAGAGCGTGAGTGCAGCCATTTTGGCCAATACCACACCCTAACCGCCCAAAACAAGGAGGTCACCAGCAAGTCCCCGGCCTGGGACCACCCGACATGGATAAATTACTAAGCCGGGTGCCTTACAAATTGTGCTCACCTTTCTGTGACAGCAGTTTATGATTAACCTTTATGGCCTGACCTCAAGACAATGCTGATCACGTACAGGGGTTTTGAACATTTAAAAATGTTACCGTTGAACCCATCCTATTAAGAGAAGTATCCCAGGAATGGAAAAATAAAGCACCATATGTACTCACCAGCAAATTGGTATTAACTGATCAACACCTAAGTGGACATATAGGAATAACATTTATCAGGTGTCGGGCAGGTGTGGGTGAAGGGGACGGGTATATACATACATAATGAATGCGATGTGCACCAACTGGGGGATGGACATGCTTGAGGCTCTGACTCGAGGGGGTAGAGAAGACAGGGAAAGGGCAATATACGTAACCTTAACATTTGTACCCCCACAATATGCTGGAAAAAAATAATAATAAATAAAACGTTATTATTGCCCCATAAGGTGTCTCCCTCCTGCTCAGGAAAGGACTCCTACTCTGCCCATAGAGTAGGATCTGTCGCCTGTCTCTGTCTCATTAAAATGTTCCTGTAGCTGGTTGGCTCACTCCCGCAAGAAGCCAAGAACCCCCTTGGCGAGTTCAGGGGGCTTCCTTCCCTTCATTGAGACACCCCCTGCATCAAAGGAACCATACAAATCATCTGGCCTATGCTTCTTACTTTATAGGTGAGGAAATTACGACCCCAAGATGTCAACTAACTTCAACATTACACTGCTGGCCAGCACAGTAGGGAGACAGATCGTCTCTCCCAGCGCCAGTCCGTGCCTGTTCCCTAACATGAACACACACGTTTCCCCTCCACTTCCTTCTCTCATTGGTGGTATGTACATTTCAGGCTATATTTGCTTGTTTGGGAAGAAGGGAGTGAAGTGGGTGGTGGGAGTGGAGTTAGATGGATACTGCTTTTCTGTTTTCTGTAATATTATGACAGTGCATGAACATTTCAAATATAATAATTATATCTCCTTAAAAAAAGCCCCCAAATAAACACAAAGCATGAATAAGAATCAAACAGAGCTTGCTTAATCACAGCATGGATTAGCATCCAGATATGGAACGTGGAATGCAGACACGTTCAGAAATAATCTATTTTCCTTCCTGAGCACTCAGATTGGCCAGGTACAGAATTCAAACATCTTCTTCAGTCTTCCTGTGGCTATTATTACGAACATTTCCAAAAGTGTGAATATGAAAACAAAATGCTGCAGAAATTCTTTTTCAGAAAGTACATAAAAGGTGTCTATCATGGAGTTTTCTTCAAATCCAAAACAATCTACAGACAGGCACGGGCTGTTCTGTTTCCCATCCTGTGAGCCCAGGCACCTGCACGTCTGTCTGCTTAACCACATCTCGAGGGTTCTGCCTCAACTTTCCCAGGTTTCCTTCCGTATCCCCGGGTGACCACGGGCAACTCGCCACCTCCCTGCAAGAATGCAGCATTGCCAGGAAGGAGCCAGGACAGTCTGTGTCAAACTTGAACTTCCTAAGGTTTGCACATAACAACCTCATCAAAGCCTTCCTACATAGGAAACAAACTCCCTGCACTTTATACGTAATGCAAGTCAGGGCCAGCAGTAGCCAAAATTATCACCAGGCAAGAGTTGCTTCCAGCACACTCTATGCCCTCTGCCCCTTGATATTAATAATTTGGTGACCTTGAGTATTCCCACTATTATAGAGTAAGTTTTCTTAAGAGTCCATGAACTATCATAAGTAAAAATCAATGGTCCAGTTCAAAGCATGCTTATATGAAAGAAATTCTCAATAGCAATTTGGATGCAGAAAGAAATTTGAGAGCTAGCTACATTCACACCAAAATCCATATACAGAAGCCTGCCTAAATGCAAAGAAACATTGGGGCTTATTTTTAAAAAAAGCTAAGATTAAAAAAGAAAAAACACGTGTCAAGAGAAAGACAGCATTAGTTGTTTCTTAAAATGCAATTTTGTTGAGTTGAAAATCCATTAAGTCAATGAACTATCACTTTCTGAGTTCAAAAAGTGAGACTTTTATTTGCTTAAGTGTCCTTGCACTTAGTGCTTTTAAACTGGAAATTATCATTCTTTTTCTTAACACTTAAAAGATCCACTTCATTTTCAAAAGACCTAAATCTCTGCATCTCCTTGTCCTTCCATTTATATGTACTAAAATTTTCTTCCCGTTTCCAAAAGACTTGGAGAAAAGAAAGATCTAACAGTCCTGAGTAAAAAATGGATAATAGTTTTCATTAACCTGAGCCTCTGCATCCACAACTGCAGCATATTGAGTGTTTAGAGTAACTCTGAACAGCTTCCAACACCCTGACTCACTGACTTGGATTGGGTGATACTGGGAACTGGAGGAAGAGGTGACCCAGGTATCAAACATTCCAGGAACATTTAGATGTTACAGCTGTGGTGTTGGGACTCTACATCTTGGACGAGACCATTGCTCCCTTCTGACCTGCCCACCACACTCACTTCCCAGACTGTGTCCAGGGCAGCAACCCTGCCCACCAGCGCCCCGAGCCTCTCACTGTCGAAATAACCCTCTTCCTCATTTTTCCACAAATATTTATTGAGCAACTATTATATGTCAGGCACTGTTTTAGGTTCCCACCTTTGTGGGATGTACATTCTAATGGGAGTAGGGGGGAGAGATAATGCCATACATCAAGAGTTAAGTGCTACAAATAAGAAGATAGTAAGATGTTGTGAAGACAGACAGTGACTTCACTGGGCATCAAAAGGAACAATCAGGGAAAGCCCCTGAGACTATTTCAGATCATGTGTCAGCTGCCTTTGCCCTGCTATGCTGCAGCTCAGGAACCAGGTCTGCATTCCTGCCAGAAGAAACCAAAAGCTTCTTTGAAAATAGCCAAATATGCAAGAGTATTCAAATGTGTACACTTGGAGTATCAACACTAGAGAACATAGAAATCTGGAAAATAAGAATATCTATTCTAAACAGAACCATTTGGTGAAGTTTTTTAAATGGTTCTATTCCTTAAAACATCAAGGTCTTAATTCTTCTCCTTTTGTCCTAAGGGCAAGGAAGGTGTCTTCAGACTTACCAGGAGAGGTCGGGCGTGTGTCAAAAATCTCCAGGAAATGCTACCATCACCTTCTGCCCCTAAACAATCTTGCACCCTGTGAAAAACTCAGATGGGTGTAGTTTAAGGGGAAAAAGTGGCAGAGAGGCTGTCAGAGCCCTGGGGGACCCAGTCGTGGCCTTGCCTGGAGGCCACATGGTCTCAACCCTTGGGCCTCCCAACACTCCAGAGAGAAACAGAGTTCCCAGAGAAGGAAAGGTTGCTTGTTTTGCTTATTGGAGCTGGATGATGGAAATGTGGTTCTAATTTTTCCCAACCACTGCTCTGTTTCTAATCCGATGTTATACTTGATACTCATTTTTTGCCTAACCTTTCTTTTTACTTTTTGATCCTAAGCAGCTAAACAACACAGCATTAATCACACAAGCTCACTGTGATGATCCCAGTCTTCATGGCATCTTCTGAACACTCTTTAAAATCTGAGCAGGGTGGCAGGACGGAGGCTGGGGGAATTTTCAACAACCTGTATATAAACCCACTGAGACACATTCCTCATTACAATGATATGGACTATATAGGGCATTGCATAGGCCTTCACGGGGTCATTTGTCACATAATCATGTCCCTGATTCAGGACAGGATAGCTAAAAAGGAGGGATTTCTCATTTTTAGTCTCACCATTTGTATTAATACATCCCGTTGGCTTTTAACAGAAAAAATAAACAGAATAGGTAAAAGAATTCTTCTATCGGGACCCCTTTCTTACTTAAATAGTTTTTGGGTTTCTAAAATAGTTGTTTTTGTGTCCTATTTTCTTTATTTTCTTGATAATCTTAAACATTTTTCCTTAACTGAAACATCTTAAAAATAAATTCAAAGTGTTTTATTGAACCTATGTTGCTATTGCAGATGAAAATTCTACACAAAATATTACAGTCGTTTATCAGTCTGGGAGATGACCCTACTTCAACAGTTTCCACCTTTCAATGGTAGTGGAAACCATTTTTCCCAACAGAATCTTATATGGAGTACCAACACACAAAGTGATGACATTTGGATGTTCTCTTTGAAACAGGGGCTGACAGACCTAATGTCTTCTCTCTTCTGTCTTTCCCTCGTTTCCTCCAGCTTCCTGGCTTGGAGGGACACAATTTTAAAGCCACACCTCTCAATGGGCCTCATTCCTCCTGGGCTCACAGCACCATGTTCCATAGGGGGCCATGACTGTCATCCTGAACATGATTATCTTGTCAGGATGTCCAACATTAGACTTTTGCTTATTCATCTCCAGAGACTAGCCAGGAAATTTAAAAGGCACCACCTTTAACAGTTTTTTTATGCCTCCTTGCCCTTTTAAGAAAACAGAAATAAAATAAAGATAAATTATTATTTATCTTTATATTATCTGTAATTATCAAAATAATTACAGAATTATTTTGAAAGAAACCTAGAGATTTCACCTGGTTCTGCACTTAGGCTTAAGTTTGTTTCTTTGTAAATGTGTTAAACAAATATTTACGGAACTCCTCTTGCATGCAAGACAGTTGATTGTCTAAGCCAATCAGAGTAAGGCAGCGTGGTTAAATGGGAAGGGCATGACCGTGAGACCCAGTTCAACCAGTTACTGTGTTATCCCACTGGGCCTCGGTTTCTCCATCTGTAAATTGGGGGTGATGATTCCTAACTTTCAATGTGTTTGTGAGGCTCAATGGACAAAGCATATGAAAATATCTATCCTAGCACTTGGTCC